TAGGTGGGCAAGCTATTAATTTTTTAAAAATGTTTTACTGTGATCAAATATGTGAACATAGCTTCAGTAGTTAGGTTTGCAAGGTGTTTTTGTTGTTGTTTTTGTTTTCCTTTTAGAAAAAAACAGCCTTCATCTTACCTCTCTAGGGCAAACACTTTTGACTGTTAGCTGATTCTTTCAGTAGTTAATTTGTCATTACCTGCTCTTGTATTTATATTACATTTTGTTTTAGAAATTATCTACTAGCTTCCACAGTAGATAATGAGGAGTTTGTTGTTTTCTCTACCTATCCTCACTCCTCCTACCTTCCTGCTTTCCCCAAATAACTATAATTTTGATAATATTCAGTGTTTACATTATTATGAAGATATTTGTATCCTATGTAGATAGAAGTAACGTGGTTAACTATGATTATTTTTCCTTTGTCACCCTGGTTTTTATTACTCCTAGAGGTAACTTTTTTTTTCTTTTAACTTTTCCATTTCCTTAGTTTTCTAAGTTGTTATAACTCATTCAACTCCCATATACTAAAATACCAATGATATTTCTAAGTAAATATGTTTTGTGAGCAGTGGGATGGATATATGACTTTGAATCTCAGTCACTTACTTGCCAGATGAAAGAAGATACTATATTGCTATAATTTCAGTTGATTTCTAAGATTATAAAAATTGGTTTAAGCTTTGTAGAAGATTTGAGATCTGTGCATTGTGAGTACATGAGATACTTGTGGAATGGCAAAGGTCTTCCATGAATTTAAAGACCCAAAAAGACTAGTTATTTGGAACAGGTTTTTTTTTAATCAAATGCCTTCATTAGGTACATTAATTGATTTACTTGCTGACTTTATTATAGACCTTCACAATAGGCTTCATAGTTTTTGCTGCTCAGCCATTGTAGCATAGTATAAACAGAGTACTGAGTATAAAGTCTGGGTCAAATTCTGGCTCTAACCTTGTGTCAATGACTTATTTATAAAATGAGAAATAATATTTGTGCCATAGATTGCATATGAGAGCAAACTGAGGGGTTACATATGAAAATCCTTTTGAATTGTAAAATGCTGTACAAATGTACAAAGTGATGTAGGGAGTTAATGCAGTTTGTAAATTGGTGAACTCAATATAGTGAGAGCTAATATGGGCAAAGAAATGATCTCTATATGTAAGTATATGGTATATTTGTGTATTTATACACATCTATTTGACAATAGTTATTATCTATGTATTGAGTTACATGTACTTTAAAGACTTTAAAGACAGCATTTTATTTGTATGCGATAAATAAGTTTCCTGTGCTCAAAAATGAAAAGGGATGATTAATGAAAAATCATGATCAATCTCACCAGGCTATGTAGAAGTGGAAGTTGACTACATATACGTTGTACTAAAGTAATAGAGATAAGAGATATTGACAAAAACACTTTGGTTTTACAGTTTTTTCTTTTTTTGAGATGGAGTTTCCCTTTTGTTGCCCAGGCTGGAGTGCAGTGGCGTGATCTCTGCTCACTGCAACCTCTGCCTCCCAGGTTCAAGTGATTCTCCTGCTTCAGCCTCCCGAGTAGCTGGGATTACAGGCATGCGCTACCACACCCAGCTAATTTTTGTATTTTCAGTAGAGACAGGGTTTCTCCATGTTGGTCAGGCTGATCTTGAACACCTGACCTCAGGTGATCCACCCGCCTCAGCTCCCACAGTGCTGGGATTTGAGGCATGAGCCACTGTGCCCGGCCTGGTTTTATAGTTTTATTGGTTAATACAGTGTTAGTACTTGGATGAACTTAATGCTTAATGTTATGGTTTGGAGTAACTCTTCTTATATAGCAGGTGTCCTAAGAGAAAAAATATGAATATTAGTCTCCAAATGGCTCCTTTAATGTTGTAATCTATATTTTGAAATACTTTTGGATAAAATTTAGGTAATATTAGTGAAGCAAATTTATTTTAATTTGAGCATAATTTATTAACATTCTGTCCCTCATGTTTTGTTCCTTGCAGGGACTCTTTCTGGTAAATTGATACACTATGTCTATATGTCTATTTGTACTTTTTTAAATCCAGGGGCTAACTTGGACTATGTAGGTATTTATATGCTTGCGCATGCATGTATGTGTGTATATGTTTTAAATTTTCATTTCTGAAAAATAGATGCTTATTTTGAGAATAAAGATCTAGTTGGTGAAGACAGAAATGACAGATACTTCAGTGACAAAAAGTGTTAATTCAAATATGACCTCCTAGCATATCACTAAGAAACATTAATACCTAGAGCTGGAAAATATTCCCCCTCATCTTATTGTGCCAAAATAGAAGTTGAATATTAGAAGCCAAACCAATTTATTAGATACATACAGAACTGGAAAATATTGGAGTTTGTAGATAGTAAACACACTGGGACAGTATTTGTTTATTTATTTATTAAATGATGTCACTGTTACCAGTTAGTTCCCTGGCTCTGGCTGTGAGAATGACATTGGCAGCTAGCGGCAAACTCTATTCTATTAATTTTGAACTTATATGGTGTAAAGATTTTTGTGATCCTTTTTTGTTTCATTGATTATACTTTGATGAAAAATTAGATACAGCTAACTTTTTTCTTCAGGAATGGTGGCACCTTTTGGGATGGCATACCTTTTGGGTATAACCTAACTGGAACAAAAAGCTAGTCTTTTTTTTTTTTTTTTTTTCTGGTCCACTAATTGGCTTGACCTTTTTAATTTTTATTTTGAATAGTCCACAGTGTAGGATGCTAGGGATAGGTTGAAAGTACCTACTTATTTTCAGCATGTGCTTTAGGAGCTTTTTTTCTTTCACTTTGCAAATACAGAATTGTTCTAGTTATTCTGTAATGCCTACACACGAGATGACTAGGTTTCATTTGGTCCTTTGGGCAGATACTCTTTTCAAATTAATTAATAACACTAGCACTTTATTTTTTTAATTTTTTTTTAGACGGAGTCTCACTCTGTGCCAGGCTGGAGTGCAGTGGTGCAATCTTGGCTCACTGTAACCTCTGACTCCCTGATTCAAGTGATTCTCCTGCCTCAGCCTCTGGAGTAGCCGGGATTACAGGCATGCGCCACCACGCCCGGCTAATTTTTGTATTTTTTGTAGAGACAGGATTTCACCATGTTGGCTAGGGTGGTCTTGATCACCTGACCTTGTGATCTGCCCACCTCGGTCTCCCAAAGTGCTGGGATTACAAGTGTGACCCACTGTGCCTGGCCAACATTAGCACATTTTAAAAATGATCAGTGATCAGTTCTAGTCAAAATAACTTAAATATAGAAGAGGTGATACGTTCTTTATGGATTGCTTGACAGATAATAATATTTGATCAAACAAATTCAGTTACAGATACACTTTTAGAAAGAGTTGATAACATCAATGAAGCATGTAAGTGAGATCAAATGAACTGAATATTTAGAAGATTTATCACGTCTTTAAAGTTACCTGATTGGAGATACTGCAATTAATACTAAAATTAAATTTCTTTAAAAGCCTTATTTCTGAACACTCTCTTATTCTATTTATACTTTTGGAATCCCCCAAAGATAAAAGAAAAGAATTATTAGAGGATTTATCTGCAAGTATTATAGGGAAGAATATAAAAAAAATCAGAATTGAAAGCAACTGTTGCAAGTACCAGAAAATTATGCTATTAATTTAAGTGTCATCAGAGTACAAAAGATCACATTCCGGCACTGTGTGGAAATTATTAAAATACTGGAAATAATAGTACTTAAGATGAAGATATTCTAAGATCTGGTTAAGTGACTGACATTATTACTTCACTTCAGGTATTATCAAAGTAACAAAATGCTTTTAAAGATAATAAGCATTACATTATGAGATTGGCAGTGTTCATACTTTTCTGCTTAAGTGCTTTTCTAGTTTAACATAATTTAATAACAGTTACAGGGAAATAGCTAACATCTTAGTTCCCACATGTATCTTTCCCCCTTCTTCAATATATACACATTTATATATCTATATATACATATAAAGTAACACATGTTTATTCTTTAAGAGTTGGGTATATGAATTCTTCTGCATTCTTTGTCCTTGATGTGAGGTGTGTTACTATTTTGTGTTTTTAAAGTTCCTAATTGTTGAGAAAACTAAGGAGAAGCTACTGCTGTGTAGCCATTACTGTTCAGAAATCGGAATAATTTTTTAAAATAGCTTTATTCAGATATAATTGACATACAATAAAGTGAATGTATTTAAAGTGTACAGTTTGGTGAGTTTTGACAAATATCTACACTCATTAAATTATCACCAAAATCAAGATAAAAAACACATCCATCATATCCCAGTTACCTCCTTCGCCATTGTTGTCCCTCCCTCTAGTCCTTCCTAACCTTCCTCCTGGGCCTTAGGTAACTGCTGATCTACTTTATGCTGCTGTTGATTTGTTTGCAGTTTCTATATGGAATCTTATATAACTCTGTGTACTTTTCTATGCCAGTCTTTTTTCCTCAGCATAATTACTTGGAGATTCATCCATGTTGCAGCCTGTAATATAGTTCATTCTTTTTTTGCTGAGTATTTATGGATGTGCCACATATTGGCCATTTCCTTTTTGACGGACATATGGGTGGTTTTCAAAATTTGGCTATTAAAATTTTCTCCAAATTGATCTAGAAATTCAATGCAATTGCAATCAAAATCTGAACAGCTCTGTTGTTTTTTTTTTTTTTCCTAATTTAAAAAAATGACAAGATTATGGCTGGACGCAGTGGCTCACACCTGTAGTCCCAACAGTTTAGGAGGCTGAGACAAGAGGATTGATTGACCCCAGTAGTTCGAGACAAGCTGGGCAACATGGGGAAACCCCTTCTCTCCAAAAAATACAAAAATTACCTGGGTGTGGGGGCTACCCACCTGTAGTCACCCAACTACTTGGAAGGCTGAAGGTGGAAGGATCAGTTGAGCCCAGGAGCTTGAGGTTTCAGTGAGCTGTGATCATGCCACTACACTCCAGCTTGGGTGACAGACCCTATCTCAAAAGAAAAAAAGAAAAGAAAGGAAATTAAATTATTCCAAAGTGTTTGTGGAAAGGCTGTAAAAGTCCTGTAATAGTTAAAATAGGTCTGAAAAGAACAAAATTGGAAGACTAACATAACCTGATTTCAAGACTTATAAATCTACTTGTTTTCAGGATATATGGTGTTTTCATAAAGGTAGACAAGGAGATCACTGGAATAGAGAATTCAGGAATAGACCCATAGATATACAGATAGCCATTTTCAACAGAGGTACAAAGATAGTTTAGTGGAGGAAGGACAGTCTTTTCAACACATGGTGGTGAGACAATTGGATATCTGTATGTGTCCCCTACTGTGTTTCACTCTTTCTAGTCCTTGTTCCCTGAGTTTACATCCAATAAATTATCCCCTTACATGTCCTTGTTTCAGGCTTGGCTTTCTGGGGGAATGTGAAGCTTGGGCCAATTGTCATTTTTATATGCTACAGATGAAGATGTGTTGTAGGACAAGGGTCCAAATATACCAATCGTACTTATGACCCAGAAATTTACCTTCTTAAGAAAATTTTGTTTGCTTTTTGACTATTTAACTTATTTTTCAAGATTGAACAAAACCTATGCAATTATATATGACCTCCTAAGCAGTGTAACTTGGCAGGCCTTCTTTAAAATCAGTTTATAAATCAAAGGCTGCACTGGGCTTCTCTCAAATGATTTCCTTGCCCCTAGAAAATGGTAATCATCTTCACGGTTGCTGTCGGCTTCCTTTGACTTGTGGCTATTTGAAAAGTTTTCTGTGACTTTTATATAACTAACAGTGGGTAATAGGCACTGACTTCTTAGCTGCTCATATACCTAGTTTGTAGAATGTAAGAAAGTGTTTCTCAATATTTCAGTGATAGATACTGATATTTTTTTAAGTGTTTAGACCTAAGCGTACAAGTAATTCAGCAGTGGAAAATAACACTATACAAGCCAAACTACTGATTTCTTTGACTAAAATCACATTCTTTAGTCATGGAACTAATAAAATCTTTATCTCCTTATTCATTGACTTTTGCTTCTTAAGCACTAATTTTAAAATGAGGTACATTTTAAGGCTTTAGAATAATGATACCCAGTTTTCGACTGGTTTATTTCATTTATTAAACATGAACAAAAATAACCAACCTGGTCCTTGCCCTGCTTGATTATCAGGGTCTTTGACTCATTCATACCTTCTAGCATAAAAATTGGTAAGCATTGCCAAAAGCAACTGATGGTTCTTTAGTGTTATAAGACTATTCAGGAAGTAGAATAAGCCATTTAGTTTTCTTGTAAGGTCATGATTTGGTGACCTTTGAACAGAGTAACTTTGTAATGTTTCATGATCTCAAGGTTTAAATGTCAGATACGCTGGTTGGATGGTTTGTTCAGAAATCTTTTCAGTGTGTGTGTTCAGAAACTTTCAGTTGCGTTAACACAGAGATCCCAAATACAGATCTTTTCGTGGACAAACCCATTTACGGAACAGTCCAGGTAATTCTGATTTAGGTGGAGAGAATTTCATTAAGTGCCTTAGGTGAACTTAATATTGGATTGATCTCTTAATATCTTTATGCCTGCTCTTTGGAAATCATGTGGAGATGTCTATTTTTGCCTTAAGATTATTTTTTTAAAAAATTCTTCTGACCTTTAATAGACTCTATATCAGGGAACATTTCCTTGTTAAACTTAGCTTCTGTGCTCCATCTGCATGTAATATTATAGAGGTAGATGTCTAGTTTCTCTTGCTTGGTCTGTGCCTTTTTTTCTCCTACAGTCCTACCCCACGTTAAGGTAGACAAAGAGATTTTTTAAAGTCTCTGGTGGGTTGGTGTGCCTTCAACATGGACCTTTGCTGTAAACCTTTTGGGGAAGGTGAAGTAGAATGTAATTTTAGTCAAGTACATTCTCACCTTGTTTTGTGCTTCCTAAGTTACTCACGATGTTTCCTCCCCTTTTGCAGGACTAAATTTTAAGGACAAGATGTTGCTGAAAATCATGTTCTTTTTCTTCTCATTCCATGCTAAGGCTTAGCTGAGAGACTTCTGTATTAACTTGATTTGGGGGATACTTTTCTTCCCTGTAAGACAGTTTATTGCTTTCAGGGCACTCAGCTTTATATATCAGTGTTTAAGGGTTGTTTTCTGTTGCTAATTCCTGTTGTCTTTAATTTTTTCTCTTATATTTTTATTCTTCATTTCCTTATTGTATGTATGTGCAAAACAGATGGCATTTTTCTTTGATTAGCAGATATAACAGTTGTAATGTTTTGGGTGTAATTGTTGGATCTTCACTGTATTTAAGCTGTACAATTGTTTTGCTATTCCTGCTAAGAATTTGTGGTTCAAAACCTATTCCAAAACTCCCAAGTTTTTTGACTATTGCAATTTTTCTGTATTTTAGAAAATAATGGTATATATATACATATATATAATGCATTTTAAATACATGAAGATATAAGGTATAATGTAATCTAAATATTTTGATTCTCATATAAAATATTTCTGATTCTGACATGAAAATTCTTTTAATCAGAGGATTGTTATTGTATATTAAATCATATAAATATACATTATATTTAATGGATATATTCATATTTATTAAAATCTCTTTGTAAACAAGAATTGGTAATAAATGAGATTACATTATAATATTTGGCATCTTGAAAGGGAATCTCAGTACTTTTATGGGGAACGCAATACCTACTTTATGGATTTGCAAACAGTTATATTTAGAATTCTTGACTTTTATACCTGGAAGTCACCTTAGAAGTTACCTTAGAAGTTGTCTACTGCACCATCCACAATTATAGGTGCAATGTTAAAGCTTAGAGAGGCTGAGTTTGTCTTGCTTAAGATCAAATACCTTGTTACCATCAATATTAGAGCTGTGATTTCCTTGCAAACTGGGTACTTTTATCTTTATATCAGAGAAACCAACATAGACTTGTACATGGCTAAAATGTTAATTTCATTGAATCAACCTTAATGTATTTTTTGCTCTACTGTGAGCATCAGAAAATAAAAGGATGGGTGACATATCATTTATTTCTATTTCTACATGTACTTTTCTATGATTATAAAAATGTTATAGAAAATATGGCAAGGTACAAAGAAGAGAATAAAAAATTGTCATAAAAGATTTTAAAAATATAACCACACTAACTAGGGACCAGGGAAAGATTAGAATAAAATCATTGAAGCAAAGTGAGGACAAAACCACTTTTGATTTTTCTGGAATGGATTAAGTTGCTTATCAGCTTAAGGAGAGTTTGGGCAGAGGCGATGGGGTCTTCAAAATATACAATCATGTCATCTGAAAATAGAGACAATTTGACTTTCTCCTTTCCTAATTGAATACCCTTTATTTCTTTTTCTTGCCTCATTGCTCTGGCTAGAACATCCAATATACTATATTGAATAGGAGTGGTGAGAGAGGTTACCCTTGTCTAGTGCCAGATTTCAAAGGGAATGCTTCCAGTTTTTGTACATTCAGTATGATATTGACAGTGGGTTTGTCATAAATAGCTTTTATTATTTTGTGATAGGTTCCATCAATACCTAGTTTATTAAGAGTTTTTATCATAAAGTGCTGTTGAATATTCTCTAAGGCCTTCTCTGCATCTATTGAGATAATCATGTGGTTTTTGTCTTTGGTTCTATTTATGTGGTGGATTGCGTTTACAGACTTGCCTATGTTGAACCAGCCTTTCATTCCCGGGATGAAGCCTACCTGATCATGGTGGATAAGCTTTTTGATGTGCTGTTGCAGTCGGTTTGCCAGTATTTTACTGAAGATTTGTGCATCTGTGTTCATCATGGATATTGTCATGAAGCTTTCTTTTTCTTGCCTGATTGCTCTGGCTAGAACTTTGAATACTATATTGAATAGGAGTGGTGAGACAGGGCATCCTAGTACAGTGCCAGATTTCAAAGGGAATGCTTCCAGTTTTTGCCTATTAATTATGATAGTGGCTGTGGGTTTGTCATAAATAGCTCTTATTATTTTGAGATATGTTCCGTCGATACCTAGTTTATTGAGGGTTTTTAGCATAAAGGGATGTTGTATTTTGTCGAAGGCCTTCTCTGCGTCTATTGAGATAATCATGTGGTTTTTGTCTTTGGTTGTGTTTATGTGATGAATTACGTTTATAGACTTTTGTATGTTGAACTAGCCTTGCATCCCCAGAATGAAGCCTGTTTGATCGTGATGGATAAGCTTTTTGATGTGCTGTTGCATTCAGTTTGCCAGTATTTTATTGAAGATTTTTGCATCTATGTTCATCATGGATATTGGCCTGAAGTTTTCTTTTCTTGTTGAGTCTCTGCCACGTTTTGGCATCAGGATGATGTTGGTCTTATAAAATGAGTTAGGGAGAATTCCTTCTTTTTGTATTGTTTCAGATAGTTTCAGAAGAAGTGGTACAAGCTCCTCTTTGTACGTCTGGTAGAACTTGGCTGTGAACTCGTCTGGACCTGGACTTTTTTTGGTGGGTAGGCTATTAATTGCTGCCTCAACTTCAGCCCTTGTTTTATTGGTCTATTCAGGGTTTCAACTTCTTCCTGGTTTAGGCTTGGGAGGATGCAAGTGTCCAGGAATTTATCCATTTATTCCAGGTTTACTGGTTTATGCGCATAGAGTTGTTTATAGTAATCTCTGATGGTACTTTGTATTTCTGTGGGATCAGTGGTGATATGCCCTTTATCGTTTTTTTATTGTATCTATTTGATTCTTCTCTCTTTTCTTTTTTATTAATCTGGCTAGTGGTCTGTTTTGTTGATCTTTTCAAAAAACCTGCTCCTGGATTGATTGATTTTTTGAAGGGTGTTTTTTGTGTGTCTCTATCTCCTTCAGTTCTGCTCTGATCTTAGTTATTTCTTGTCTTCTGCTAGCTTTTGAGTTTTTTTTGAACTTGCTCCTCTAGCTCTTTCAATTTTGACGATAGGGTGTCGATTTGAGATCTTTCCTCATTTCTCATGTCGGCACTTATTGCTATAAATTTCCTTCTGGACACTGCTTTAAATGTGTCCCGGATATTATGGTACATTGTGTCTTCATTCTTGTTGGTTTCAAAGAACATCTCTATTTCTAGCTTCATTTTATTGTTTATGCAGTCAACATTCAGGAGCCAGTTGTTCAGTTTCCATGAAGTTGTGTGGTTTTGTTCCCTTCGTTTTGAATTACTTTCTTAATTCTGAGATCTAACTTGATT